TTTGTGTTAGTTCCGCCTTCTCGCGTCTTTCAATTTGTCTTACAGAGCAAGCTGGCTCAAGCTGTAATATATTCACTTTTCGGCTGGGACATATTTTAGCTTCGCAGTTTCGTGGTTCTTCTCAGACCTCAGAAACACACCCCAACCGTATCTTTCCAATGTAATTAGGCAAGGAAGAGGTGCAAATTTGCTGGAAACACATCTTGCAGCCGATGTTTCTATCACTCAACTTTTGAATAGCATGAGCTCCTGCTGCTTATCAGCGGAACCCCTTAACAGTAATTGGTAACTCACAGAGAGAAAATCTCTACTAAGCCTTGAATTCTAGCAAGAAAACGCTGCATTACCTAACGCAAAGTAGCAGAGTGTACTGCTATGGCTTTCTGGGAAGCGTTCGGCTTCTTACGGGCTCTGAGCCTCGGGAACTCGCACGTTGCCTCCAGACAATCAAATTTACACTGCAAATATTTTTAAATATAAGGCCCATTTTAAATTTCTATTTCATATATACTGACTGTTGAAAACTACGCCCTATATAACTCTGTCATCTTTTGGTATAATTTCATTATATATCTAATAAGGTAATGTGCAATGGTGTTTAATTGCATTGCAAAATTTTTCTTGTCAAATTAACTCTTATAAAATAAAATTAGTGAAGGATTTTATATGAAAATGTTGATAATGAACCCATGAGGGTTCATGGTGTGTTAAGGTTCTTGCATTGGGTGGGATGAGGGATTGAGGGGGCGCAAATTCTTAGCTGGGGCCTATATCCGAGACAAGTCGCTATATTATTTTGTACCGCGAGCCTAGTCCAAAAACAAGTTCACAGGCATATAAATGATTGTAATTTTGGAATATTTAAAAACAAAATGTGACAAAGAGAGTAGATATACAACTTTAGGGAATCAAACCCAGAACTTTCACCTGTTGCAGCTTGCTATACTTAACTGTCATCACTGCTCATGGGAGGTCGTTAAACAAAGCATGTACTTAAATACACATAAAATCGTCATGTTCTGAGTTGTCTTCGATTGTGAAGACTCATAATTTATTGTATTAACGTTGTGTTGTCTCTTTTCAAGAAGTGGATGAGATACAAGGGTAGAAATTCTGTTCAGCATTTAATTGAAACAGTCGTCAAGATGTTTAAGTTTATCTTTACGAGAAGAAAGCTAAAATTCTTGCATTTTGAACTTCTTCCCTGGAGAGGGTTTACAAGAAAAAGGTAAAAGAATTATTTTCTTTATATGCTTCCGTAAAATCTCACAGTAGGACTATCCGTTACTGAAAACCCGCAAATAATTCATCTATAATTTTTATAATGTTTACTGGTTCACTTACACTGTTATATAAGAAATTAGATGTAAATCAAAATTTTATTTATAAACGAGATATCTCGTCTCTAACAATGAAAGGGTTAAGCAAGAGTTGCCTAAAAACGGGCTTAATAATTTTCCCCAATATTTTCTTCACATGTGTACCGCGGCAACTTAAGTAGAAAGTGGAAGATAATGAATAACCCTTAAATTAACTGTCACCAAGGGGTCATAGTAACTACTGGATTTCTGTTAATAGCCATTTTCAAAATCACCAGTTCTTGCAGAATAGAGATTTTCTATTTTTTTCAAGAAGATAAACAAATTAATGAATATGTAACAAAGTCAATTATAGGTTACAATTTTATTACATATACAGATATGTATTACATACTGGATTTCACATCTTTATTTTCAGGCGAACGTCCTGCACCCCTGATGATTCCAATTACAGCACGTTAAAATGGTTCATACCTTGATATCCGGAGTGGAGAACTGTGATCACAACACAACAGAACCGTTGCGTAGTGCTTGCACACGCAACTTGAATCTTAAATTTGGATATTCCATTTCGCATCGAATGTCACAGGATCTTAGTTGAAGTCTCTCAACTACTTTCCTACATTTCCCCAAAATGAATGAGATGAAACCTTTACTGGTGACTCACTTCCTTCGTCTATAGCTCCAGACGTTCTAAGCCTTGATACTACGTAGATACGGTTTGTATCCCAGGAGCACCAGCTTTTATTACCAACAGGACAGGAGACTGAATGAGTATCAAAGCCGCTCTTGCAGCATGTTGAAGAGGATATCTCTGCCTCTACCGATAATTCCAACCTCCTCACCATTACCTTTAAGCATATGTTTGTCGCGACGAGCCTCTGGTGTTGTCCCAACAGCAGCGCCTGGTGTTCCTTGGCACGCAACCTCAATGTTTCTATACTGTTCTTCCGCGTCTCTGACGAAGATGAAGGCGGAGGGGGACTAGGGGTGTTTCCTCTATTAAATAAAGACTTATAAATCACTAATACTCGATAAGAAAATAACCCCTGTCTGTAACGGTGAATGCGTCGAAAATTGTCTTACATTCATGCCTATGCGTTACTCCTTAACACAAGTTTTATCTTCTTCAATGAAGGAAGCTACCAGGAAAGTCGAGGTATGGGGAAAACCGGGTCAAGGTCACGTACTTCTGTTTAAATAACTCGGCCTATACTGTTCATGTCTTTGTACCCTCTACAGAGAAAAATATTTTTCAGCACGTGTCTTTACTTTAACTCGATTCTGTCAAAAATGATCCAGTCCATGCAAACTATTTCCTGGCAATCTTGCTATCGTTTTTGAACACTGAAAATAAGTGCGAATATAAACAACAGATGATATTTTACATGCCTACACTAACGTTGGAACAGGGCCCCGCCATAAATCAAGTGTTTAGTCGCTGGCTTCCCACCGTGGCGGCCCGGGTTCGATCCCGGGGTCTGGTCAAGTGGGATTTGTGGTGGGAAAAGTGGCGCTGGGGTAGGTTTTCTCCGAGTACTTCTGTTTCCTCTGCCCATTTTCATTCTACCAATTACTCTACAATCACCCTCACCTATCATCTAGGGCTGGTACAATAGGCCAGAAGTGGCCGCAGCATTAAAAAGAAACGTTAGAACAAGTAACTCATGGTTTTGAGGGGGCGGCAACAAGCATATACCAAGAAGTTTTGCTCTGACAACTGTGGGGTCTAAAAATGAGAAATCAAATTTATGTGTATAATGTGAACTGAAAAAGAGGTATATTAAAGGACACCATCTTGCCCCAACTATAAAAAGAATTAACCCATATATTGGGTAATATTACACGATGTGCATTATAGTAATACATATCTTAAGCCTACCCTTATTTTGAAAAAAATAAGGGTAGGCTATGAGATCATCACTATGTCAGTGTGTCTGTGTATCCGCTCTCTCTTGTAAACTTTTGAATGCCTGAAACAAACTGTATGAGACTTGGTACGTATATCATGGCACCTAAACCCATATCAAGGGCATACTTCTTAAATTCCTCCCATCAGTCCATGCGGCTTACGTATGTCCCTATATCCTTGCTAGGCAACGGCGCGGTAAAAGGTTACCGCGGCAACGAATAAACAGGCAACAATAGAAGAACTGCTAGACCAATTGTTTACTGTGCTGTGTGTGTTGTATCAAATGAAAGTAGGCAGTAGTTCATCACAGAACTTGTTTTAAATATCAGAAGTATAGCTTTACATACTTCTCAGTAATATGGTCTATGATTTTGAATTATTTCCGATCAGATTTGCAATTGTCTGATAAATATGCACTTAATCATACCAACATGCGAGTTGTTTCAACTTGCCCCTGTTTCCCTTATCAGTATTCGTAATTTGATATTTCCTCTCATTTAGTAAAATGACAAGCAGTCGGCCGCAGCCAAAATGAAACTAAATTTTCCTTAATCACTACAGAGTCAAAGCTTAGGTATTTTTTTTAATTCGCTTAGCGGGGGGTGGAGTCCAACTGGGTCCACTCGGCGCGGCGGCCACTGATTGGCCTATTGTAGCCGGCCCAGGGTGATTATGATGATGGAGAATTTGGTGGAATGAAGATTGGCAGGGGAAACCGAAGTACTCGGAGAAAACCCGTCCCAGCGCCACTTTGTCCGCCACAAATCCCAAGTGAACAGACCCCGGGATCGAACCCTGGCCGCCGCGGTGGTAAAGCTTAGGTAAGTATTAGTTGATCATAACAAATAATGAAACTTATATCACACTAAATAAGCAATAACATATACATTTTGGGGGATATAGAAATTATGCCAGGAAGAGGTTTGAGTTTTGGATGTCCACATTTCTGAAGGAACACTTCAATTAAGAGTTAATTTTTTTCGACAGTAGAATTAATCTATATTCCATTAATTGTACGTTATGTCCACCTGGTACAAACTATAATTTTGGGACCTGCAGTAATAGTTTTTTGCTATGTATTGCCAAAAATTCACGGAAAAGTCTCTTGAATGTTAGTCACCTTCTGGCATACACAGATAACTATGGGTAAAAGTAGACTCTGATAGTCATCCAGTAGCAATCAAAATAATTTAAATATTGGAGAGAAGAGGTTTTACAGGTAAACATGTGCACGCATGTTCCAAAAATTCCGAAATGTTTCAGGCAGTCATGTTATATCGCTTGTATCTTAATAGATTGGAGCTTCATAACTTGTACTCTTCTCCAAGTATAATTTGAATGATCAAGTCAAGGAGGATGAGGTGGGCAGGTCATGTAGCACGAATGGGGGAGACGAGGAATGCGTATAGGATATTGGTGGGAAAGCCAGAAGGAAAGAGACAACAGGGAAGACCAAGGCGTAGGTGGGTGGACAATATTAGAATGGATCTTAGAGAGATAGGATGGGCGGGTATGGATTGGATAAATCTGGCTCAGGATAGGGACCAGTGGAGGGCTCTTTTGAACACGGTGATGAACCTTCGGGTTCCATAAACTGCTGGGACATTCTTGAGTAGCTGCAGAATTGGCGGCTCCTCAAGAAGGGCTCAGCTCCATGAGTGAGTAAGTAAGTAAGTAAGTAAGTATCTTAATAAATTAAAGTCAAGTTGCATGCTCAGTGGTTAAACCTTAAAGGAAAGGAAGTCTTCCTGCGTTCGAAACATGATTCATTAACGTAAAATTACCCTTTATTATCAGCACTAATTTTTCAAAGTTTTGCAAATGTTCGTCCACAAAACCAGGTTTAAGCTTAACATTTAAGGGCCAAAAAGCCATTAACCAAACATAATTCACATTTTATGCTACACGTGAGGTTTGTCCTCTGTCAGAGCTCGCTTCTTTCATATCTCCTGAGCGAGCAAGTCCATGAATATTTTACACTTCTGGAAATATATTACAATTATCCGCTGACTCTTGTCCCCATGGACAGAGGTGGTCTTTCACCCAGACTCCTCAAATTAAATCACTAAATAAGACACACTTACTAAACGTGACAGTTTCTGTACGTATCACAGTACACCAGTTATGTGGGAGCTTCTTTAAGACTTGGCCTGCACCTGTTGAATTGGCTTGGTGGTTGCCGCGGGCGTCGCGACGAGCCTCTGGTGCTGTCCCAACAGCAGCGCCTGGTGTTCCTTGGCACGCAACCTCAATGTTTCTATACTGTTCTTCCGCGTCTCTGACGAAGATGAAGGCGGAGGGGGACTAGGGGTGGGCGGACTCTTGGAGACGACGGTCTCTGTGTCTGCAGGAGGCGGCGAGCCCGCTGCAGCCGTCGGAGGTATAGGTGGGTGCAGTGTGAAGCTACCCAAACCACCTAGACCGATTCCTGCAGGCAGCGGCAGCGCGCCTCCAGCCAGTACGTACTGCGACAACAAGGCGTGAAACGGGCCTGGAGGTGCAGTCTTCCCGCCCCCAGTGAGAGCAGGACCCCACGGGATACCCAGTGCCGCAGCTGCAGCATTTGGAGGTAAACTGCCCAATCCGAACACTGGGCCGAACCCGAGAGCAGCTGCGCTGGGCCAAAACGGGTCTGGTGGCAGAGGTGGGAGCCCTAGCTGAGCGTGCACTCCAAATTCTGAGAGACCTGGAACAATTTTCTACAATCAATCACAGTTTCTTCGTGTTGGTTCATTATATGATTCTGCTTTGATACTAATCTCCCACTTCTAGCAGAATGCGTGAAAGACAACTCACGTGCTCCTAGTAACAACCAGTGAACGTCCTCATAAAACTCCACAAAGTGTTTTCGAATTAAGGGCTTTTCTAAGCCACTCCAGTGTCAAAGGTGGAAACAAACTTCTGAGCCGTGTAACTTAAAACTACACCAAATACATGTCTACATACATCACACCATAAACAGAACAAAATATATAAGGAATGTAAGGGCAAGAAATAAAAATTCTGGAAAAACTGCATGTTATTTTTAAGGCATTTCATAGTATAAAATTTCACTGCTCTATATTTCGTTGAGCTAATGTTGGTTCTAATCTTAGGGTAGCTTATGTTTCAGATAATTATAGTGTGTGAAGGCGCAATGGACTCCAATGAAATCATGGGAATTGGTTCCATGCTTTATAGGACTAACACACGACTCACTAATCTATTATAAATCCAGGAATTTTATTACATTCGGTAATAAAACATGGATATGTTATTGTAAGGACAGACGAAAAGAGAAAATAGCTGCAGAAACAAAGTTACCAAACAACTGACTGAAGAGGCCATATATTGTAATAAGAAGGGCCAATACAGTGAGTGAGGAACATTTCGAAGGACATCTCGACTGCACAAGCTATACGTGTAGCACGCATGTCAAGACGATTGAAAAAATGAAGAACTGAAACCGATGCGAAAGGAAGCTAGAGCAGAATTTGCTTGTAGGAGCTGAGGAAAACTGCGAGCAACCTGAAATCATATCCGTTGCTGGGTTGAGTTTAGTAAAAATTTCTAACCATAATGTCAGACAGGTTAAAGTTTTTGACATATTCGAGAGATGATCTATTCCAATCTCAGCCGAGATACCGAATTTCCTGGCCAAGGTTTCATATGGTTACCCTCAACCCCTCCAGGAAATTCTGACGTAATATCTCAAATTAGACCACGACTGTTTCATTCTATATTATTTCTAATTACCTTTCAAGAATCATCCTACAATTGGTCAATATATAATCCGTGTTACTGGCAGTGTCGCTAAACAAACTACAATTACGAGGGTACAAATCTTCAGGGTAGAAGAAAAATGAAGAAAATCCGCGAGCGATGAACCAGCGTGATCAGGTGCTGAAGATGGGGGCGATTCGTTCCTCCGAAACCTCGGTTAACACAATATCTACACGGTGCCACATCCCAGAAGACGGCTTTCTACATAGTCACCGCCGTGAAAACCTCAAATCTTACAACGATGCTTGGTGTCTGAAGGCGAGAATATGGTCGAAATATTTACTACATGAACATAGGCGAAGAAGTGGAAATAACGTGTAGAAAGGGCAAATTCTGAGATTGGTAGAGAATAAATTTATATAATCTGTAACCCAAAAAACGACTAGAAATTAGACTGCAATCAACACAGAACGGCAACGGAAATACCTTTTGCTCAGTTCAATGCGTTTGTTGACACCAACCAAGCATCTGAACTATATATTATGTATACTAATTAAAATCCCTTAAACACAGAATTACGTAAGGATGAAATTTTTCTGTTTTATACGGAGGACTAATAGGAGACATCCAAAGATATCATTAACTTTACTGTCACCAAATATAGTTGGCATTGCTGTTAAATGACGTGCAGTTTCTGCGGTAAGGATATTGGGTAGGATTCGAATCCTCATTGACATTTTTCAATTACATGAATAAATTTTTTAAATTATTTTTAATTTCGGTGTTATTTATTTTTTTTAAGTTTTGTCTGTTATATAAATCGTTTTGATACTGGTAAGGAAAACAACCATAACCAGGGCAAAAACGAATAGTCCTGTTTGTAAAAAATTATAGCTAGATCTAAACACGAATTCATAGGCTACGCGTTTGTGTCCTTCCAGTGCATTTGTAGTTATACAACTTACATTGGTAATAAAATTTATACACGCAAGCAAAACGATCGAGTTGCATGACAGGAGGGCCCAGCACGAACACAGTTCTATGGAAAGTTCCCGGCAACAAAGGGCGATTCTGGGCATTTACTCTTATCTCATCTCTTACTTCCACGTTTCATTGCTATCATTATAGCTAAACCCGTGTCGTACGGATGTGCAACACTGCGACAATTGCGACAAGCTTCTTATTAACATTCATAGAATTTTCATTATCCTATACATGTAAGTTTAATAATGAGTAACGGGTACATGTATCTTATCAACGGTAATAAAGCCACGTAATCGGTGTTGCGATACGATCTCTCGATTCAGATATACAGTAGACATTGTGGGAGTCCACGGGTCTAGCAGTAAATTAATGGCCTACAGTGGCGATGAGAAATCACACAACGCATGCAAGATTCCGGTAACATTACTGGTGATTTGATCTACGTTCTCAACAAGTAATTTCATTACTACGACGAAATAGGTAGAAACAACAATAAATGTGTTGTTAAAAGTCGCTTTCCTTATTCAGTTCACTGTTCTGTACAGTGCTGATGCGGAAACAATCAACTGATCCTGTTAAGGTTCGGCCACACAGAGCGCTACGTACGCTATGTTCGCTATACGAATAGAAAAATATCTCCCTTTATAGCCAATGTGACTGGCGACACAGACTTCCGTACGCTACGTACGCTATGTTCCCTTTGTTACCTGCGTCGCAGAGTGTACACAGCGTAAGTAGCGTACGTAGCGAACATAGCGTAGAGCTCTGTGTGGCCGAACATTTAAAACTCATAAAATGTCTTCAGACACAAGAGTGTCTGAAGACATTTGGTGATATCTCTCATCCGTCAATAATATGAATGTATACCAGTTCTCCTTTATATTTCTTTACGTAACGAAATTTTCAAATTATGGAATTGGGGGAAGTGCGTGTGACTAAAATTATGGAACTAATTTCGATTTACATTCACATCGGCTCAACATAATCCCACATTTATTTTGCATGAAGATCACATTCAAATTCGACACTTTTTCGTTTCATATAATCGCGGTTCCGACAAAAATATATGCTTCATATATGATACATGCCTGATCATAACTTTTGTTTGAGGATTTCTCTAGATGGTGAATATTTTACCGCGCTTGGCCCATTACTGATAACATATTTTTTAAAGATACGAAACAAAATTAATAACTAAAGAGTGGGGGAGGTTTCTATTTTGACTCTCTCCGCGGAAATATATGTATCTTCAATAAAAGAAAAACGTCGTTGAGAAATCCAAAAATCACAAAAAACTTATTTGTATATTGCGTACAAATACTCAAAAATGGAGCACAAATATCCAGGCTCGACTTGCTTTACTTAAGGTCATAAATGAACTTCATACCGTTATTAAAATTTTGTTCGTGTGGTGATATGACAATATCATAGGGTTATCTTTATTTCGAGCGATGCTGAACAATAATAAATTCTATCTTACGTAAATACATAAGTACATTTTCCATGAATCTCATTAACTGTTTAACAAATATTGATGCAATTCGGTATTATGCATTATTATTCTGTCCAAATAGGAATTCTGTTCTTTTCATATAATAAATTTTCTATTTTCTAAAATACCTTTCATAATGAGGCTGTAAATAATGTCAAAAAACTGAAAATTACATCACCGGAAATATTTTTGTTTAATAATGCAGCATTTTTTAAATACTGTGCTTAAAATATACTGCACTGAAATAATGACGGGTCTCTTTTGTCACATATTTTTAATCCTTACAAACAAAGTGGTAACTATATATACCAACTTAATTAAAATACAATCTGCATTTTACTCAAAGAGTGTAATTAGGCCTGTGTTTCATACGACTCACACAATAAACAGATACTATTTACCTAACTAGCACAGATCAGTTGGCCTTTGTAACGACTACGCACAGTTTTCTGTGAGGTGGAACCTGAATTTTTACTTATTATTTAGATGACAATCGTACTTCAAAAGTTCCGCAAAATTTAACTTAATTCTTAGAATAATTTAACGTACAGCTGATAAGACTGAAACAGGAAATTATGCGTACATCTTCCATTTTCCATTAACCCAAAATGGTCTTCCGAATTCATGCCAAGATTACCGAAGTTTCTTACTCTCGATGATATATAAAGAAGTTTCTTCCTACCCATATTCACATCCGTGTAAATATTCATTAAATTTAAATCGGCCGTATGGTAAAAACACAAGACTCACCATATCATTCCATTTATTTCTTATGGCCGAAGTCCAGACTGGTTTCATTTTTCGAATATATTTTATATTACACATGCATATTCTTAAATTTACTTATAATAGTTTCTATACAAAAGATCAACTTATATTACGCACATTTTAAAAAAATAATATATGGTCTATACACAAAAATACATAGGCTTTTAATCAGATTGTGTTAGTACGTAGGCAGCTGCAGGCAAATTTATGAAGATATCCTACAGCGACTTTCGGATTACAGAAACAACACAATGTGGTAGAAGATGAGGTTGCTACTCCTATACTAAAGCTACGGAAAGAAGTCCCACGGACAAACCAGGGGCTTTAACGGATATGAAAATCATTGGAGGGGAGTTGAATATAAAGATAAAATGGGAAGCCTCGAGAGACTTAATCCCTGTTATCCACGAGGACTTCTAGTTCCCAGTAAATCTGCACTGAAACGCATTCTGTGTGGTGCCACCAGTAGGATACACGGTTATGTCGTATAAGCCTAACCTACATCTATTCAGTTGTTATATCTGTTTACGAGATAAGCAACGAGGGTGAGAAGACCCACCTGGTTGATCCCCGTGGATGAAGCCAGAACTCTCCCTACCCAGCGCCTTTTCTCGCTTCCTCCATTTGGCACGCCGATTCTGGAACCAAACCTGTTAACACAGGCATGTTCTTGGCATCAGTCTGCAAATTTAGCAATGTCAAAATTAGGCATCTAAATATGCAGTATAGACTATCTATCTATCTATCTATCTATCTATCTATCTATCTATCTATCTATCTATCTATCTATCTATCTATCTATCTATCTATCTATCTATCTATCTGTCTGTCTATTTACGGTCCTTTCGTTGGACCTTGGTCGCTTTTTCAGTTTCTTAATCCTATACACAGACGGTAGGACTCCTTGGACGGGGGATCAGCCCATCGCAAAGCCATTACCTACGCACAGAACAACACAAACACAGAGTAAACGCACACAGACATCTATGCCTTGAGTGGGATTCGAGCCCACTATCCCATTGTTCGAGCGAGCGAAGGCAGTTCATGCTTTAGACCGCGCAGTCACTCTGATCAGCCCAATGTAGGCTATGACAGATCATTTTTATTAAGGGCCGCAATTCTATCTTGAAAACCTGTGTCGTGGCGGACAGCGGTCGATTGCGTCACCCAATGTCGGAGTACGTAAGATTATTAGCCTGGAAGTCAGTGACACAGCTAGACACTCTTGTTCGCTTTCTTCCTACCGACAGGTCCCGAAACTTCGCCTTATATAATTAACTCCAAACCAATAACATGAAGTACACGGCCATATCCATTCAAGAGCATAAGAGTAAAAGAAAGGGGGGGGGGCGTTCATGTTCTAAATTATGAATCTCACCATGAAAACGTCTAGGAGGGCAGAGTAGAAGCATAGTCCTATACATTCTTAATCTCTGCTCAACATGGGGGGTGGAGTTGAGTGATTCGCTTTCCGGTTCCTTTACCCCCGGTACCCTTTTATTTAAAGGCCCCACCAGGGATTTATTTTCAGGATATCCTCTGTCACCTCTTTTCGTTAATCTATCTACTTGTTCTTTTCATATTTTCCTATACGTAGTTATGTATTCGGCGCTAAATAAACTAAGATACAGAGAGCGTCTTTAAATAAACCACAAATAAATAAGTAAATAAATTATATTGTCACTTGAAGAAGTGTGACTATAGACGGGGTTTGGATTGGTGATTGGATTTATTGACAACTTATGCAAACAACAGGTAAATACAAGTAGCTGTAACATCCTCACTGGCTTGAACACTCATCACTAACTGCAGCGCACATAACGTCTTCCATGGCTTCATTAGTCGTTTCCTGGTAACTGATTATAACACTGTTTTCTGCTAACGTCCTTACCGACTGGAGAATATCCCACAACTGTCTCTTTGCTCTAACTCTCTTAACTCCCAAGCTGCCATCCAGCTCACGCAAACTTCCTACTCCTGTCTTCACTGACTAACTAACCGTAGCTCCCAACTTGTCCCGGTTACACATCTCGGCATCGACCGCACAAAAAACACCGCTCCTTATTGTTGTACTTCAATCGTTTCCGTGGAAACACGATTTGTTTGGGAAGCCGTCATTCAAGAAAGGGCTTTTGTATATTTGCTTATCTCGCGTTCGTTTCCTAGCAACGGATCTACGTGGTACAATAATATTACAAATGTGTTTGTATGAAGGTCCCGACCCCCTAAAAGTAGTATAAATTTTTCTCCTGTCTGTCACCCAAATTTCTTTTCTCATTGTTGTTTTTGGCGCCCAATTAAACAGTATTTCTTATAATATAAAATATGGACTTTCATGTATTATTTATTTTTTTTTTTGCTAAAGCCTATAAATTATTCCAGTTACATGTATAAAATTTTTCCTGTTATTTTCCGAAACACTTCCGACTTGTATACTCATCAAATAAAAAAATTAATTAAAAATATACAGATACGAGTATATTATATTAATAATTAATATGCTTGTCAAATATCAGTCACGCGTGGGCCACGGTGTGCTAACTTCCACGAAGGAGGTTTGTGAGGTACAAGACATTTTCCTTCAGTGAGTAATTTTAACAGAATTTCCCTAAGCTCCTCTGTCGCATCGAATATGCTCCTATGTGAAGCACGCATACAGATGTGGAGTTAACTGAACAAGATATAGTCTGTCATAATTGGGAACAGAATTCTCGAAAATTCAAATTGTATTCTTATTTATTTATTGTTGTATAATAACAAAAACGGAAAGTTTGGGAAATTAAATGAATTCTATCAGATATATAACTTGACATCAACTGTTGCTATGGTGACATTCCCTTTCACGTGAGATTATATGAAGGAACAGCAATTATTATGTTTCCACGCCACTTTGTGCCTTGAAGACTTCTACGCAGACTACAGACTTGGTTTCACGTGTTCATGCTGGGGGCAAAGGAGCCAAAATAATTTCATTCTACAAAGTTACAGATGTCTGACTACATTTCCTTGAACAAATGTCACCCTGAAGATCAAAATACATGGACGTTCGAAAATGTGTTCAATAAAATCTATATAATGATACGCGACTAATAACCAGGGCCAGATTTTTTGGCGCATGCCTTAACTTAATCAAAAATTAAAACAGTGTTGCGGGACACGCTGTAACGTAGTTGGTTAAGGCAATATGTTACAAAGTGGAAGGTCGCTGGTTCGATTCTCGATTGTGTCATTGGAATTTTCAATTGACCTAGTCATTTCTGCCGCACTATGGTGCTGGGGTCGACTCAGCTTGTAATAAAAGTGAGTACCAGGAATCTTCCTGGGGATTAAGGACGGACGGAGCGTAAGACTGAAACACTCAATGCCGTTTGTGACCTGATCTACTAGAAAATGTGGGAGCCTCAACCTCTCACAACTCTATGGGTCTCTATGGCCTGTTACAGGGATAGCTTTACCTTTTTTTAATATAGTAATGCAGGGTGGTTTGCGATAGTCGACAGTAGCAGTTAGATGTCTCCTTTCCTCGAACAGGAAACCTCAGTCCAGAACACGTACGTGGTTCTGAAGGAACAAAGTATAGTCACGTTTTCCGACGAGGCTCGAAAAGAACAATGACTGCGCTATCGAAGGTCAGCAGCAAATTACTGCTCTGATAAAGAGTGTTATTTCAAAACGTTGATAGTTAATCCTATGGAGAATAGAGTTCATGTACATACTAATCAGTAATTAAATTCCTGCCTAATAGAAAACACACTGCTTCTTCATTAGTTAAAAGGTCAACCGATTAATGCTGTTTAGGAAAAAAAACAGCTGTTCATTCTGAGAACCAATACTACTGGGGGGNGAAGAAACATCAAGTACACGTCCAACCACAGACGATACCTGTCGGCGGGGGGGGGGGGGGTATGCAGAGGTTCTACCACGTTAAAAACAAAGCTTTGAGAAATGCTTCTATTAGCTTCGCCATGTATGTCTGTCTGTCTGTCTCTTTAAATTTAAAAATTTTTTGACACGCTGAAAGTATTTTTGTAAAATACCATTTTCAGGAATTTTAATATTACTTGCGGAAGAATTCAAGTTCTGATTAAATTCGGATGACAAATGATGGATTCTGTACGTGGCGCCCTACATGAATTTCAGTGCACATGTCCAGCTTAACTCACTAATATTTAGATTTATACGAGTGAAAAATATTGCACAACAAAATAAAAATTTAAACATATATTCTATATTCAATAAAGGGTTCTAGGGTTCTCGGGCCAAGTAAACGAAAGGGAAAGAAGGTGAAATTTGTTATACATATATTTCTTACTTTATTTCACGATAATGCAGATCACTGTTTCTCAAAGAGTTATTCTGCTACTCAAGAGCTCCTGAGTTTATGGGACCCAACATTTCATTGACGTCGTATTAAGAGGAGACTGCCATTGGAACCAACTGTAACCGCGTCGCTACTTCGCGTTTCAATTCTCTAATATTCGCTTTAGTATCATTCCTTCGTGTCACCTGGGTTCTTCCCTTCAGATTTTCCGAATAAATATTTTTCGTGCATTTTCATTTATCCATGCGTTTCCCCCCAAACCAGCCTCAGCGCAGGCCCACTTTTTCATTGAGCATGCGATACTGCATAACTGTAACTATATAACATATCAGATGAAATGTAGGACCGTAACCGCACCTTCGAAATCCTCCCTCCCTTTTTCTTCAGTAGCTAATAGAGTTCAGTGCCGGTCACGGTAGCTGAGCGGTCTAAGGCATGTACTGTCTTCGATCGCTTGGAAACCGGGATCGTGGGGTCGAATCCCACTCCGGGCATCGATGTTTAGTTTGTGTGTGTGCGTTTTTCTGTGTTTGTGTACAGGTAGAGGCCTTGCGACGAGCTGATCATCCGCCCAAGGAGTCCTACCGAATGTGTAAGATCTAGAAAAACCGAAGTGAACGGAGAAGTTCATGGAGAAAGGTCTATGACCACTGGGGCTGTAGTGCCAGGGAAAAAAAATGGAGTTAAGAAGTTACGAAGGCACAAAGGTTTAATTAAGACATACTGTAAGAACAATGAATAGGCGATGAGCAGATAGACCAAGCTTGCGCGGACAAGGATATCTGCTAGTTCTTACATCCAAGCATCTGGTGTTATTTTCCAAAAGGGCAGAAAGTGATACTTCAAGAAACCCCATTGAGATTCTTTAGAAATGTAGAATTAGTTTTACAACGGCAAAACACTTTGAGATTTCGAGAAGTGACCGTTTCTACCAGCCGTAAGCCAAGAGTAGGAGTGCCAACGGATCATTAGTGACCCCTCATAAGTTGCATTGCTGTTAATTTCGCCGTTTTGTCTTTTAGGGCGAAATTCCCTTAAAAGTAGTCTGTCACTGGCCGGAACCAAAATGCAGCCAACTTCCTTTATTTGAATCGATCAGGGAAATTAGGAGGAGATAAGAATAGGCAGATACAAATCAGTTATGACCTCTGGCTCGGCAGGGAGGTCAGCGTAAGTGTTTAGTAGGCTACCAGCTTTTGAACTTGGCGGAGGCAAACCCCGCATCACTCTGGCAAAGAAATAATTCTAAGAATTATTCTAAGTCCAAAATTTTTGCTCTCATATCGACTCATATTGAGATTTAGCTTAATCAACAAGCGCGCGGCACCA